TCCCTCTGTGCATATCTCTTTTTATTATTATTTTTTTTTTCTTTCCACCTTACTTCGATAAAAATGTAATAATTTTTATCTACGTTTGCTCTACGAAAGATGCGATAGGTAAGAGGGTTTTATCGATCGTTTAAAAAAAGAAACTAAGCTTAATCGGAAAAGAACTAGACGGTACCAGTTTATATAAATAATTTCGATTAATCGAAATCATTCGATTGGTTTATTATTTCAATTCTCTAATTAGGCTCCACTAATAATAATGTAAATTCATCTAATCCATCTAGTAAGTCTAGTAGATTTTTTTTTTTTTTATTAAATCTTCAATTACTATGATTAATACTAAGATTATTATTATTATTATTATTACTACTATTACTATTATTATTATTATTATTATTTCTTAAAAAATATATCAGTCCAAATAGAACTATAGATAAAATATATAGAAAATTTTGTTCTTTTTTTTTTTTTCTTTTTTTTTTACACGTAGTACCGTCTCCCATCGATCCTTTCAAGGCGACACGGGAAAGCAATGGAAAATAAAATTAATCAACAAATCGTCCCTGCGCATGCGCTCTCCGCAGGCCTTTTAATCCTTTGCACTGGTGCGAATCGCAAATAGTACGAGGAATAGTACGATTAATAATAGAAAATATCGTTATATTGTTATTTACATATTAACGTACAAAACTAGAACGTTTCTAGCAGGCGATCAATATATATATATATATATATATATATATTATATATATATATTCGTATATTAATATTAATCTTAATCGTCCCATAACCTCATCAATCGCCGTTTCATAATTGAACCATGTTTACGAATACAAATATATTCGCTTGTATATCATCGTAATTATTATTATCGCAAATTACTGTTACTCGATAAAATTGTTTCGCAACGCTTCGAAACGATTCTTATTAACGAGAACGAAAAAAAAAAAATCGAAATCTCTTTCCTCGATCGATTTACACGTGTATCTGTATAATTAAACATTGATCGTTTAAAAAAAAAGGAAAAAAACGAGTTTTTACCTATATACGATTAAACTGGCACGAATGATATGCAAAAGGAGAAAAAAAAAACAAAAAAAGGTGGTAAAAAAAATACGCTACAACCTAACCTTAATATCTAAGAGCTATATGTTATCGTTTTCACGCTCACGCGAAGGATCGGAATCACTTGCACAAATTTTTATATACGTTTCTTCGATTAATCCTAAGTTTACAGTCGTAAGCTCTACGATATCGTTCGAGTGTGTCAAGTTACAATTAATTGAGCGTAGGCAGCTCGTAGTATTTGTTCGTTAGGAGTGCAAAGGCTTAAACAACGAAGGCGTTTATGTACATGTACACAATGATCGAGCACGAGGATGCGCTTCGTCAACTTTGTTGAACTCGTTAACACCTCGGCCTGCGAAACGTAATATTACTCGGTCGGTTGCGCGTTTCTTGGAAAGAATTAATCGTTAGTTAAATAATTTATCCAAGCGTTATATTAGCGTTCACTGTTTTTCTTACTATTTGATGATTTTTTTTTTTTTTTTTAAATTTTCAAGTTGGATAAAATATTAATATTAAA